GGGCCAAGTGATGCTGCTGAGGGAACGGTCGGATAAGGGACGGCATAGCCCGCAGCTGCATAATGGACGGGGCAAAAGGCTCAAAAGAGACCCTCCCTAGTTTCTCGGGCTGTAAAGGAGACGGAGGGAGAATTGTACAGAGACCTGCAAGATTCTCTGGGCTCGGGTGAGTAGAAAGCATTCATGTCCCCCCTCTCTGTTCCCCTCCCAGCGCAATGTGAAGAATTCCCAGTACAGGACGATCGAGGATGATTTAGTCTCAGCCCTCATCCGGTCCGGATGCATCCCAGAAAACCACGGGGAAGACATGAAGAAGATGTCGTTTCAGAGATGCGCCAGGACGGATAAGGTCAGGCACCCCTCGGCTGCCTTTGTGCGGGGTGGGTGGGGAGGAATGAGCGACGCATCTCGTAGGCTGCACAGCTTTTAGCAGTCTGGTTGCAGGCGCGTCTCGTAGATAGGAGCGGACTTTGGACACTTTTTTGAAGAGGGAACTTAGTATGATGTGCTTCCTTCACAGGAGTACGAGAATCATCCCGTGGGTTTTCTTCGATTCTATTTTCATCCATCTTCCTTTCCTCTCCCTTCCCTACATGTTTATCCCACCACAATCTAGCAATTCTCAGCAGCTCTCTTGGTGCAAACTTGGAGACTTGAAAGGCAGTCACCGCTGTCCTACAAACATCCAGCAACTTCAGATCTTCTTTTTTTGTTCCTGTTGTTATTCCCCATCAGGAATTTGGGGAGAAGACCTGACGTGGCTTTCTAGGTCACAAGACTAGGGTACCAAATTTTCCTTCACCAAACATGCTGACCCTGAAGCAGGTTATTCCAAATATTTCCTGGATTGCCAAAAGGAGGAGTTTTCAAGGTTCCCAGAACAGTTGGAATAGCTTGGTCGGAGTTGGGATTTTCCATAAGAAAAGGTTTTCCATGCCCCTAAGCATCAGCTCATCTGCTTCCTTGGTGTGAAGCAACCAGTTAAAATGATTGTTTTCCTTTACTTTCTCATCTTTCTAAAACATTGCACTGAAAGGACTGGGTTTTTTTTCCTGGACTTATTGTTGACATGCGGTATTTTCAAGCCTGTGAATCCTAAACTAAGTTGCAAACTTTCTTTGAAATGTGACTCAGAGGCATGTTTATAAAAAGTGCCAATTCTGTTCAGTTCTTCCCTTCTCTAGACCTTTCCTGATTTTTGTTTGATTTCTTTTTGGGGAAATGCAGGGCGTTTCTGCGGCTGGACAGATAGTTTCCTTGAAAGTCTGGCTGATTGAAGATATTTTACAGAAGATTAATGAGCATCTTCCTTCTCATATAAGAATTTTAGGTAAGGAAATACTAATTAAAACTCTATGATAGACATGGGAGGCGTGAGGATTTCTCGTTTCAGGTAAGGGATCTGGATCCCTATCACCAAAGCTGGTGTAACGGGTGCGAAGTCTTGCACAGCTAAACAAAACAGAAACAAGGAAATGTTTTTCTGCACCAGTGGAACTTGTGAACTTCTGGCCTTAAATATGTTTTTTGTTTTCAGTTAAGGTTGTGCATAGGCAGCCTGGGGCCCTCCAGATATGTAGGATCACAGCTCCCAGGATCTCTTGACACTAGCCATGTATTGTGGGCTAGTGAAGTTTGCAAAGCATGGCACCTGATGGTGCTGGATCACCAGTGCCAATGTAAGGGAGGCTGGGAAAGAAATGGAGAATAGGAATTGAGATTCAGCAGGGCCTCTACCATTTTAGCCTTCTGGAAAGCCATAAAAAGCTGGCTCCCCCCACCCCCAAGAGCTGGGATAGGTGGAAGTATGGCTTGCCAGAGAGTTGTGGATGGCATCAAAGGAGTTTGCTTGCAGCACCAGGCTTTTATTTTTTTGTACAATACTGTTCTTAGGGTTGCGAGCCATCCAGAGTTCTGGTTTGGATGGGCAGCCATGCAAAAATTTTAAATAAAGTATAAACATAACGAAGAGACAGAAGGTGAATCCTTCTAAGAATTCCTCTTGGCTTGGGGTTTAACCCAGAGAAGTATTAAGAACTTCTCTTACTGAGATCTGTGTGGTTCTTGCTTTCTTGATCCCACCCAGCTGTGAGAACATTATAAGGTCAAGATTGACCCAAAGCTGACATTGTCCGAACGTTTTGTCTGTTAAAACAAATAGGGCTCAAAAGGGTGACAGGAAAGTTCAATTCCAAGAACAGGTGTGATGCCCGGACCTATTCGTATATGCTGCCCACGTTCGCCTTTGCACACAAGGATCACGCTCCTCAAGATGAAACATACCGCTTGAGCACAGAGACTCTGGAGGCCGTGAATGACCTCCTGGGTTGCTACAAGGGCACTCACAACTTCCACAACTTCACCTCCCAGAAGGGGCCCAAGGATCCGAGCGCCAAACGTTACATCATGGAAATGTATTGTGAAGAGCCCTTTGTGAGGAACGGCTTGGAGTTGGCAGTGGTGAAAGTGAAAGGACAGAGTTTTATGATGCACCAGATCCGGAAGATGATCGGCTTGGTGATCGCTATCGTGAAGGGCTACGCCACAAAATCCATCATGGAACAGAGCTGGGGAGAGGAGAAGGTGGACATCCCCAAAGCTCCTGGACTGGGCCTGATTTTGGAACGGGTCCACTTTGAGAGCTATAATCAACGTTTTGGGGACGATGGACTCCATGAAGCCCTGGAATGGGCAGAAGAAGAGGAGAAGATCACTGCTTTCAAAGAGCAGCACATCTATCCCACGATTATAAATACAGAGAAAGAAGAAAAGTCCATGATGAACTGGCTGGAAACGCTCTCCAATCATCAGTTCGATTCCACCATGTCGAGGTTACAGGAAGACACTAGAGATTCAAAGGTAAGGGGAAATAATTTGGGGTCCCTTGTTTTCTTCCCCACCCAGCAGAGAGCCCAAGGAGGGACACCACCTTCTAGCCAGAGATTTGAAGTGCTACCTTGGGTCTGCATGGACTGACCCTGAGGAGTATCCCGTCAGCCCTACTAGGTAGACCAGACCAGGAAATCCACTCCACAGGAAGGCTAAAACCACTTGGATGGAGAAGAGCTCTAATGACAGAATCTTACCAATCTGATTATGCTGAACCTCCTCCCCCAACCTTCTTGTAGTTCGGTGAATTAGGGAGGTGTCTGCCAGAGCCACTTCTAAATGTTACCTGCACATTCCAAACTTAAAAAATGCTTCGGCCTCAGGAATGGTTCCTGCTTATCTCCATCAAGGTCAACTTCCTTATTCTCCACATGTCCTACCCATATAGGTCCTCAGTGAGAGGGCCTAAATCAGGAAGACACAAACTGAGGTTCCATTTGGAAGGCCCCAGGAGACGTACTAAAAAGCTGCTAAAATATAAGGACTCCTTGAGTCAATCTGAATGAGTTGGCCACTGCCTTCTCCCAGGACGTTCCTTTGACTTCTCAGACTAATCTAACAACCTTGCGATTTCCTAGTAGACTTCCACCGCAGTCCCAACCACATATGGCCTTGTGTAGCTTTTGTGGTTTAACCAAGCTTAGCTAAGTAGTATCATCTGTTGAACTAAAATTAACTACACTCTATTATACAAAAGTGAAAGCAAATGTGGTGGTGTGTTAGACCAAAACAGACACACCCAATTCAAGTCTACCCTCAGTCATGGTCACTCCCTGGAGGAATTTGGTTAGTCCCGCTTTCCCAGCCCAAGAACAAGTGTGAGGCAGTGGGGAAGATGCTGGACTAGGAGTGGGGAGACCTGGGTTCCATTCCTCCTTCAGCCATAGAAATCCCTTGGCTGACCTTTGTCCAGTCCCTCTTTCTCAGCCCAAGAACCAGAGTGGTTCAGTGGTGATGGGGCAAGTCTAGGGGTGGGGAGGCTCAGATTCAAGTCCCTCCTCAACCACAGAAGCTCCCTGAGTGATTTGGGGCTAGTTCTTCTTTCTCAGCCCAATCTATTTCACAGATTGTCATTGTGGGGATAACATGACGGGAGGCCCTGATGGAGACTTCCATGAGGTCCTTGAAGAAAGGCAAACTGTAAATCTAAAAAGGAACCAAGGTTGGGACATCCAGCCATGATACTGCAGATTGTAACAGTTGCCTCGTGGGTTTTTTCTTTGGGAAGAATTAAGTGTTTTGTATGTTTCAGTCTGATCCTGAAGGCAGTGATGGATGTGAAGACAACTCGGACTGATGATTTCAGCAGGTGGCCGAACCCAGGAAGACTTCGATACCATTGATTCAAGTCACTATGGCCATGAACTCAAGCTTTTCTCGATGATGATGGATGTTCCTTACTCTCGAAAATGGAGGAACTAGGAAAAGAAGAAGGGCAAAAATGATGTTCTTCATTCTCTCTGCAGTAATGGAATGGGAGACATGCTAGCTAGAACAAACAGTGCTTTAATTATGCTTGATAAAAAAAATAATTTTTTAAAAAAAAGTTGGCTAAATTATGGCATTTTGTTAAAATATGTCAGAGAAAAATAATTATTTATCGGACTCTTATGGATAAGTGCAAGCCATTAAGAATATTGTTCCCTTTTTATTTTTCAAGACAGACAAAATTAATTGTTCCTTTTTAAAGCTTTCTATGACTATCAGCTCAGCCAAGGAATAAGGACTTCTGTGACTATTTCTTCCTCTTGTAAAAACAATATTTTTTTAAAATCTCTTATTTCCAGTTTCTCATAGACCAAATAATGTGGTTGAAACAAACTTCGTTGGAACACTTGACTTTCATCTCCATTTTTTTAAAAAACTCTCTATTCAAGTTTTTTTTAATGCTCCTTTTGAAAAGAAAAATAAAGGCTTCTTATGGCACGAGGTACAAGGTTTTAAAAAATAATTTGTAGTCCAGGTTGCATACAATGCAGCTGTGATTTTGTTGATCTGGGGGGAGGTCAGGGAACACTCTAAGCATTTTCGAGAAAAAGAAATCAGAATGTAATTGTTTTGCTTAGCAGTTGGCTATATTAAGTTTAGACCAGAACAGAAAGGGAAATGTAAGTTAGCATTCGGTGCAATTGTTTTGATCAGTGTGTGATTTAAAAAAAAAAATTGTTCTCCCTGGACAGATTCTGTGCGATGGCTGTCTCAGTTCCCAAAACCAATTCCCAAAGTGAGAAAGAATTGTCATCAGCTAGTCAGAGCTGGGTCTCAGAAGTTGGTAGGTGGCTAAGGAGAATGGATGGATGGTTGGGAATCCCCTAAAAAAAAAAAAACAGAAGAATAAAAACATTCCCGGAAAATACAAGAACAAATCCAAAACCGCTCAGTTCTGTAGCCACCGAAGTGGTGGGGAATGGAGGTGTGGATGGTTAATAAAATGGAATATTTTAAGAGAGCATGGCATAAAAACTCTTCGGTTCAGGATCCCAAAAATCAGAGTGGCTTTACGTTGAGAAAACAGGCTTTACTTATCAGTAGAGGGAAGTATGGAGTATCTTGACTGGGGGGCATTTTTATTTCCCAGATCTTAAATTGCATTGTTTGTGGAAGTGCAGACTTTTCCTTAGATAGATTTTTTTTTTCATTTCAAAAACGATTATAAAATGCAGCAGCAAAGTGAATGGAGTGGTGGTAAGTGCACCATTGGGAGACTTGAAAGAACAGGTTATGGTATTTTATTTTATTTTATTTCAAATTTATATATAGCCACCCATCTACCAAAAGGAATTTACAGCTAAGCTGATGCGAACAAGATTAAATCAACTTTAACCTGTTCTGTGGATCCTGTTACTATGTGAATATATTTTTATGAGCGAAATGGATGACCGTGGGACAGCCTTACTTATTGATTTATTGATTATTAAATTTGTATGCTGCCCATCTCCCCCAATGGGTGACTCTGGGCGGCTCACAATTAAAAAGCAAAAGCCTATAAATTAAAATACCCCATACATAATTAAATAATCCATTAAAATCCACTATAAAATGAACAAATTGGTGGAAACCTGCTGGAAAATTAATCATCAAGGTTAGTAAAATCTTTCTTTTCTTTGGGGGGCCCTGCAAAGCTTCACAAAAACTAGAGTTTCCATGCAAGAATCAACCTTGTTTGTTAAAAGTTTTAAAATAAAACGTACAGATATATAGATATAGATATATAGATATGAAGCTTCATTTGAAAAGCAATGCGGTTCACAGTCCAGCGCATTTTTAAATATGTCACGTGTTCTCACTCTATAGTCCCATTGGTTAAGAGAGGCGACTTTGTACACTTCGCCTTCCGCTGTATTTTGCCCTTGCTGACTTCCGTAGCGGGAACCTTGTTTTGCCAGTCTCCTCCTCCCGCTTGCGATCGGCAGGCTGACCCATCCCTCGCGCCTGCGCTGCCGGAGCTCTCCGTTGGAATCGACCAATAAAATCTCTCTCCCCCCACGAAGGGCCCGCAATGGTATGATCTGGAGAGGGGGGTTCTTAAGTGGTATCGCCCGATGCAGAACCCACCTTTTTGGATCTGGAGCGTTTCGTTCAGTGGTGCAGTTTACACGGGGGGAAAAAAGGAGTCGAAACTGTAAGTGGATTAAATTCAATTTCTTAAAAAAAAAGAGGATTAAATTCATAAAAAAAAAAAAGCAACAGGGGAGGGCGCTCCCCTGGGTGGTGGGAACTTAAAGTGGAGACATAAATGCAAATATAAATAAAAATTACAGTCGGTGCAATGGCTGTAGTGGTTGCTTTTAATGAATGGGATTATAGGCTGTGAGTTTTATGTATTGTATGATTTTTTTTGCATGCTTTTACATTGTTTCTTGCTCGTTTTCCAATAGTGTTGTTCTTCTGGGTTGTTTTCCTCTCTGTTTTAATTGCCTGCAAGCCGCCTAGAGTCCTATAGAGCAGAGGGGCGGCTATGTAAATTGGAATAATGAATAAGTAAATAAATAATTCAGTGCCATTATGAGCTTAGCTGTTTAGCACGGTCCTCTGGGGTTCTGCTTAGGAATCCAAGGGTGTGAAATTGGAATAATGAATAAATAGATGGATAGTTTAGTTCCATCATGGGCTTGGCTGTTTAGCATTTTTCCTCTGGGGACTTGCTTATCCTGAATCCAAGGATGTGAAATTGGAAAAAGGAATAAATAGATAGATACGTTTAATTCCATCGTGAACTCGGCTGCTTAGCACTTTTCGTCTGTGGTTTTGCTGGTCCTGAATCCAAAGGTGGGAATCGCTTTCTGAACTGCTGCAAGCATTCAATGCAACTGGAGCTTCATCTGCTGGAAGAGAGGAGAAATGACCCAGAAGGAGCAGGGGGTGGAAGTTCGCCCTTCTGGAGTGGATCCGCTGTGCTGCAAAAAGGGGGGGGAGGTGGCCAAATCTTCCAGCATTTCACTTCCAGCCTCTTCAAGATGGACCTAGAGAGCTGAAGCTACGGGCAACGATAGCGCGTGATCCTAGCAGGAGGGTTATCTGCTCCTGTATGCTGGCTTTGTGGCAAGGCGCTCTGCTGATTTGTAAGACTAAGCAGCAAACACGGTGGTATAGCTCACAAGCAGGGTGTGGGGAGGCTCGACTGTCCTGTAATTAATGGCCACTTTGCTTTATTTTTGCCTTCAAGTCCGTGTTGATGCCTGGTCAAGTCCCTGCAGTTTTCTTGGCAAAATGTTTGGGAGTGGTTTGCCCTGGTCTCCTCCTTCCTAGGGCTGAGAGAGAGGGACGGGCCCAGAGTCACCCAACTGGCTTTGTGCCCGAGGCAGGACGGTCTCCCAGCTTCTAGTCCAATGTCTTTAATCACTACGCCCATCTGAATTCTTCTTTTGATGCCTTCAAGTCAATTTCAGTGCTTTGTGGCTCCAGGGACAAGTCCACACAGTTTTCTCGGCAGTGGTTGGAAGTGGTTTGCCCTGGCCGCCTCCTTCCCAGGGCTGAGAAAGAGGGACTGGCCCAAGGTCACCCAGCTGGCGTCATGCCTAAGGTGGGACTAGAACTCACGGTCTCCCAGTTTCTAATCTGGTGCTTCAACCACTACACCAAATTGTCTCTCCGTGTTGTTTACATGTGGTGCAATAATTAGAATGTTGATTGCAGCCTATGCCTTTCCTCAGCCTTACTCCAGGGACTCCACAACCCATGGAGTGTCTTGGCATTGCCTGAGGATACAGTGAAAGTGTGCCAAACTCGCTGTCCAGAAGGGTGCTTGGTTCCCTTTGAGGCCTAGAGTTGGAGCAAACATACATCTCAGCAACCTCAGTTGCAGCCTTCAGACATTACTGGTTCTTTGCTTGCGGGCAATAGGCACGCTTAGACATTTTATTTCTCTTACATCAGTATGTTTGCATTCCTGCAGCTCAGAAGGCTTGAGGAAGAAAAAAATTAAGTAACCCCAGCATGGCTTGAGATGCCTCCAGCATCTGCAGAATGGCAGATGTTGGATTGCTGGGTCTGAATTCCAAGTAAAAAAGGGTGGATTTGCTTCTTTAAGGTGTACCTTTAAATAGGTACAGTATCTTTAAATCCTATCCTTTAATAGGATGCGAAACTGGAGAAGAGATGGTAACTGTATAGACCAACTGACAAATGTGGGCATCAATTCTTTCACAACTTATATAATTATTATGACTTTATTATATTTTCAGAACTATTCTGTTTTGAAAGATGGTGACCATCAGTTGATTGCTTAGGGAGCAGTAAATTATCTCATATCTAGCTTGCTAAATGTATTGTTAAGACTATTCTATTTTTGTTTTTTTCCCCTTTAGGCACTTATATAGCTGTGATATCCTTGATGGATAGCAACTTCTGAATCCCAATTATACCTTCTACGTAACAACAGCAGTTGATCTCCAGAACAGATCCCAGGGGTATATAATGTATTTATCTTGAGATCTTCACAACAAGATATGTACCAAGATTCTCACTTTTCGGTATGAGCAGAATGAATTAGTACTTTGAATTAACTGGGCTGTAACCTGAAAACATTGGAAGGAATTTGTCTGTGTTAGTGGCATTGCACGGTTAGGTTATACCATTAAGAAGCCTAGCTGTTCGATAGGAAAACCACAATGCTCTTCATGTTAGCCCAAGTCCCACTTTTTAAAACATAGTTAAAATTGGCAGGGGCACACAGCGCCCAAAACCAAGTTATATCACAGTTTAGGGTGACACAGGATCTCAGCCTCTTGAGTAAATAGAGGTAGGATCAGATCGTAGATCTAATTGTTCTGTCTACCCTACCTAAACATTTTCTTCTGGTTCTCACATGAGTCTTGGGGTGATCTCCCATTCATGAGGGGTTGTTAACATTCTGTCCTGCTCAACTTCTTGTGTCTTGTCCCTTTACCAGCAGTTTATACAGACATCTTGCTCTGTGCTGAGTAAAGCTACCTGGTTGTTCCTAAAGATCAAGGATTTTTATGGTGGATCCTAGCAAGTATCTTTGTAACTGACCCCTAAATGACTTTGGAGGACTGTTGTCTTTCATCCATTTCTGTATCTTCAAACTGCTCAGGGCTTAGAGGTCTGGGAAAGTGACTTTAGGGTGTGTATGATATAAAATAAACTGAATTCTAACAGCATGGTTGTGTCTGGACTTCTTTGAAACTTTTTTTTAAACTTGCACCATTTTAAATTTAGAATCAGACCTTGCCTTGAGATCCGGGTCCCGTTCTGGTTGCTGTATTTGAGTGAAGGAGTCAGACCACCCAGAACACATTCAGAGAAGAACAGTGAGAACGAACAGGGGTTTAGGAACTAAGAGTTATGGAGAAAGATCGAAAGAACCAGGGAAGTTCCGTAGTAAGAAAACGAAAGGAAAATAGCTTTCTTCAAATATAGGGTGGACTGTTGCTCAGGAGGAAGTCAAAGCCTATTCTCTCTCAGCCCAGATGTAGAGCATGGAATAATGGTCTTATGTTGGAAAAGAGGGGGAAAATGTGTGGTATATTGGTTACTATTTAAAACCTGAGGCATAAATGACCAGGCTCAAATTGTCATACATATTTTGGACACACGATGCAAAAATCCAGCCCTCTGGAGAAGGCTCTAATGTTGGAAATGGGGAAGGAAAGAGAAGAAGAGGATGACCAGCAGCAAGGGGGATGGACTCAGTTACAGTGGTG